GTGAAGCATTCAGGGTGGTACTTCTGCTCTCCAGCAACCTGTTTATACAGGGAGGCAGTGTAGTAAAGCACAATGCAGAGGCCATGGGAATAATAATTTTTACAAGGTGATGTTTGGTGGGGTCAGATTTTAGGGGCCAAATGCAGTTTTGAATTAGAAGAGTTTTTTCTGTACATTCCTGCATCAAGGCCTAGACCTAGTGTCAGGATGTTTGCAGAGGATATCCTCTGGTGTGAGAGTTGAAAGAAAGAAAAGCATTTACTTTCATACCAGGAGGAAACCAAGAGGCAGGAAGACTGAATGTTTGAATATTTGGTGTAGCATACTGAGATTCAGTATTTTTTATAGTGAGATTCTTGCCAGATTCCTGTCTGTGAATATTACATAATGTACATGTTTGATATTTGAATGGCCACTTGTGAGTTTGAGCAAATGGTAGTTTTGAGTGATCAATAAAGCAGCTGTTTTTAAACTAGTTCTCTAACTATCAGTCAATTTGCTCCTGACTGAGTTCAAAATGTTTTACAATGAGTAAGCAGAAAAACAGAAAGGAGGATTATCTGCTATGGTGACTGGACCTTGGGGCTATTTGTTGAATCGTAACCTGTGATGACTAATTATAATGAAATGTTAGTCAGCATCACAAAATAAGACCAAGACCAAAACTGTCAGGAAAGTGGGCTTTCCTCTTCCTGTATAGTCTAGAAGTGCATGTATAGTAAGGTTTGTGGCCTGCATAGACAAAAAATGTTTGGTAAGGAACAGTTTTACAGTTCTATTACAGTATTAGAGTGGCAGTGTAATTGAAATTGTTGCTTTGTGCAACATGGCTTTAACCCTTTTTTATTAACTAGCATTTTAGTGATTTAAGCAGTTATTGTGATTAGTTCATAATAATTCATTATTAATTGAATTATCATGTTATTCACCATATTATACCGCCACACAAGACACATTGTGTCTTATTTTCAGGGATTATCATGTTACCATAATGAGTCCTGTTGTGATGGTCTCCTTGCAGCCGTGGCAGTGCTCTCCGTAACGATCCCAGTAGTGCTTCTTACAGTAGAGCTGTCCCTCTCTTTCATAGTACCAGTGAGACAGGATACAGCCACATTCACAACACCTAAAGAAAAGAGGGAATCAGGGAAGAGAGATCGAGAGTAGGATGTTGAAACAATGAGATGATGAGAAAGATGAAACGAGAAAGTTAGATGTAGGTTCAGATTTAGGCCGTAAGATGATATATACTTCAGAGGTGTGTCCAAGCAAAGAAATGTGAGCCTAGAGGAAAGGAGGAGTTGAGGAGAGGAGTTGACCTGCTAGACTTCAAGGTCAGTTGAGCCATAAATGATCATCTTCAGTTCAGTTTTCAGCTTCAATTGGTTTAGTTTTCTATAACATGTTTCCTTGCGTTGTTCCTTTATTAGTCAATAAACTGAAGCTGAGACATTTAGTTGCTGGTGTTTCTCTAGCATATGCCTGGAGGGAACACAGTTATCTTCACTGCTGATGTCACCGTGACAGAGAGCACATTCAGCCGGCTGCCAAACTAATACTGCTTCCTACAAAAGGACTACTCATGCAGGGTCGCTGGTCAGTCACATGTCTTCACAAAAACACTTTAACTTAATGGTAGTTTCCCATGGGCACACTCATGCAAAGATTGCAAAAGAAAACTAAACAAAATGCATTACTGCCTCTTTAAAACCACTCATTCCTTAAATCCAGCACATTTCACTTTCAGTCTTTCAAATCTTCAAACAGAAACTTTGTGTGGCATCCTGGTTTAAACTGAATGTAGAATAATACCTATCTACAATAAAACCCTGCTTCCTTATCTGTCCGACACTACAACCGGAGTGGGAGGTGACTTCCTGGACAGACAACAGCTTCATGTTTCCTCTCTCCTTACCTCAACTATGAATGCCATGCTTTCCTTACAATAGAAAATGAAAAGGTGGCCTTAGTATTGAGAAGAAAGTAGTTGGGAAGGTCAAGACTCAACTTCACAACATTTCATTGTGATGTTATTTTGTAAAAAAAACTTGATTGCATTAGGAAAATAGTTAATTGTATCGTCAGAGCAGCTTTATATCTTGTAACAAAACATAAATTAGTAATAAATATGATTCCACTTTAAGCTTCTGGTACTAATCAGTCATCGATGTGGTGTTTGCTTCAGTGTCACTAGTTTGACAACTATACCAAGTAGTTCCTCTTTTTCTTTTTCCAAAGTAACCATTTCTGCTGCTGTAAGACTCGTAACTAACCTCTTGTATGTTTTGTCATGGTAGACAATGCAAACCCTTTCATGAAATTGGAATAGGATCACTTTAAGTCATTCATTAGTAAAGTGGAGCAGTATGGTAATCTATGATTATTACTTGTAGTTGATGTAGTAATGAAGGTTAGGTTAGGTTCACTACAGCTCATATTCATTAGGACTTGAGTAGAGTAAATACAGTTACCAACAGGAATCTCTAGTCCTAACAGTTACTGTGTGTGCTGGTGGGGATGTTGTGTACTGTGGGAAGTACTGTAGATACTGCAGATCTATTAGACCTGCCTATCATTCATTGCTGAGGAAATAATGAAGTAATAAAACCATCACACAGCTGCAGCTTTATTTTCGACCTCCTGTCTTTGTTATTGTGCTGCGGGCAACGGATGTGGAACCTTCCAGCTTCACATCTGCTATTCCATCTAAACATCTGGTTGCAAGAAAACCCTGGATTCAGTCCAGACACATATCCAGAGAATTTATCCTCTCTTTGTTTCCTATTGCCACACATCTCCTCACATTTCTTTATTCGACCTGAAAGTATTCCCCTCATCTGGCTTGTGCTGCATCTTTCTCTTATCTTTAGCCATTCGTACACCTCCTCTCTGGTCTAAGATCTGTTCCTGTGTCACTAAAAGTGGAGCTTCGGACACACCAACACCCGCTGTATATGTTTTGACGTCAGGACATGAACATAGGTCAGATGTTAAGAATTGGATGACATATTGTCCTGCCGTGGTTTCCTCCCTGCTCTGTCTGTGTTGACCTGCTGGATTTCCTTTAAAAAACAATAGTTCTTTTGATGTAATTGTATTGTGTTGGGTGTTACAAGGATATTGTCTTAAAAGTATTATGTATGTATTATATGTATGAGCATTTCTAGTTTATTCCGTATGCTTTGATATAGACCTGAGGAAGATTAGTTGATGGGGTAAAACACGTGGATCCTAAAAAGTCGTACTTATGGATTGCGCTGTTCGCTGCTTGGATACCTGGCAAGTTGTTTTGTAACTTTTCTTGAAAGTGTAAAGAATATTGAAGCACAGGTTACTTACGTTATCTGTTTGTCGTGGTTTGAGGAAGTATAACAGATGTTGAGCTAGAATTTGCTTAGATTCTATTTCTCTCTTTCGTTCACTGTATCATACTCTCTCTCTCTTCTTCTCTCACTCTTGCACATAAACATCTCACAAATTAACAACAGCAGCTCTTACCGTCCTTTCATTCCTCTCCGAAACCTTTGGTCCCGTCGTGACATTCTGCCCTCTCAGTTCACCCAATAGTCACTCAGAAACAATCCGCCCAGTTAAGAAAGGAGCTTGTAAGCTGCATGTGTTCATGAGCGGTTCCGTCACATATTTTGCAATGCCCACTGGCAGGCGTTGTCTTTATTATTTTTTTACTCTCTCTCTGTCTCTCTCACTCTCTATGTGCTCAGAGGCTTCCTGTGCGTATGAGTTCCCTCTCTAATGCGCAAAGTAACTGTGAGAAAAAAAAACTCTGAACCACTGACACCAGCTGGCCAGTCGCCCTCTGCTGGCTGCTGGAAAACAGACCTATCCCAGTATAGAAGTTCTGCTCCACCGTCCCTCTCCTGTTACTGCCAGTATGTAGACCTCTGCAAGATACAGTTACGCAACTCTGCAGAGTCCACAGAGTGCGGGAGAGTAAAGCTCACATAGAAAATGTGAAATTGTTCATATGAGTTGAGAAAGGTGTTTTCCTCAGAACTGGTGTGAAGTGTGAGTCAGCTCGTTTGTGTGTTTTGAAATGAGCTCTGTTCCCATCAGCGCTGGCATAATCTCTTTATGAATGCCCCAATTACTGCACTGTCCTGATCCTAGAGCAAAGCTCTCCATTCATAACACACAACAAAGAGCGAGAATTCAGTTAAAGCACAAGAAAGCAGAACAGCTCAGAATAAGGAGAAGAAAACCATTACCGCTATTCAGTATGAAGTTTTCAGTACTCATAGATTATCCATGTGAGTGCTGCTCAGCTGCTGCTATTTATTTTGGTTGAAGAGCATAAGACACCAAAGTACTGAACAAAGTCACTTGACTGTACTGTAGAGTATGGTATTTTTGTTTGAAAGTACTTTTATAGTTTATATCTCCAGACTATAATTCATAGTAGTGGTATGCCCTCAGAGACACTTTTCATTGTGCAGTGCAGGTCCTGCGAACTGAAAGACAGAAACAGGTGTGTGAAGGGGGTGCATCTGTCACCAAAGTGATAAAGTGATAAAACTAAGTAATTTGTCTGCTCTGACAACTTTCTGTTTCTGTCACAGCGAGGATCAGCTCTGTTCTTCTTTGTTAAACATCTTCTATGGTTTAATTTCCAGCCTTTGTTTAAGCTCACTGGTTTTAGGACTTCTTGAGTCATTGCTTGCACCTCTGTTGTAGACTACATATTATGCTGTGTATTTTTGTGAACTGTACAGGAGGACACGCTGTAGTATTTTGCTGAGTCTCGATATGAGTCACCATCCATGAAAACAAGGCTTGACTGCTGCTCTAACTTTTTTAGTCTGCCCAGGTAGTAGGCCTAGTTTGTTCTTCTTGTTTTAGCCTAACTCGCGGTTATTAAAATGCCACCAGATTAACACATCCGGCCAACATCTGCTTCTGAACATGCAGCTTCCTCCTCCTGTCCTCCCTGTTTCACATTGTATGCGTGTGCAACAAAATCAATTATTCCATATATAACAAGAACCTGAAATAATCATTTTGTTTTATTTCAGAGAGCATTGTCTGAAAGTGAACAAAAGTGCATCATTGTCTTCATAGGTCACATAAAGAACACAGATGTTAAAAAAACACGTTGAGCTACACAATAGAGAGCTCAAGATGAGACTCAGTTACACTTTTTATCCAAATGACATCACAGACTACATTGTGATTCAGCACACATTCAAGGACAATGTAGAAAACAAAGCACTTATATTTATCATAGTAGTACACAAGTTTAAAAACTGTTTAAATTCACACACACAAAATAACTCAAATATTTAATACTGTATTAATGCACTTGAAATTGTGAAAATGAGACTAAATAGATCAAGCATCCTTTTCTGCTTCTTCTCAACATAATTTAAAAAGACTAGCAATGTGAACAATTTTCCAACAGTGTTAAAGGAGGTACATCAAAAAGAAAAAACACAGTAATCTCTGCTCCTCAGATATCATTTAAATGCACATATTGTAATCACATTACCTCATATTTAGTTCAAATGCTTTTCTCAATCCAAATCTACTCCACACCATAATATCATAACAAATACATCCTTCTAATTATGAAAAAATATGCACGTTACCCAAACGTTTACCCTAATACCATTTAGTGTTATGAAACTATAAAATAGTGCCTTTAATGTTGTGAATTGTTATCAGCTGAGGACCTTCTACATGTGTTGATACTGCTCAGGCCTAAACACAGTTGAAATGAACACAGACTGCTTTTCAGGTATCAGATAATGACCAGTCAAAACACCACACCATAAAAGATCCCGCTGGGAGTCAATTTTGTTCACAGTTCTCCCAAAATAGCAGCTGTCTGATTCTTTGTCTATACAGATTATCCATATGTTTACAAAAGCTTAAAACAGTGAATTAATAAAACAAACATTACACTCTGTAGACCGAAGGAAAATCCAGTCTAACTGGATAAAAGTGTGGCCTTGGAGATGTTCTTTTAAAGCATGCAGACAGGTCTGAAAGAGCTGCCCTGAGGGTGTCCTTGGTATCAGTCTTCACCCAGAGGATTCATGGTGATACTTGCACAGGAACACAAATGATGTTCAACGTAACAACAATAAACAAACGGTGTATTATAGTAAAGTTTGGCCTGAAAAATTAAGAAGAAATCTTGATCATTTATTTCAGTGGTTCCCTGCCTGGTGGTCAGGATTCCCAGAGAGAGTCACAAGGTGAATTATCAAAAAAACAGTCTGACGTGGATAAATTTCACCACTCTGCAAAGCAGCCTGCGACAGATAACACTGCTTTGTTTTAAGGAATCACGACCCTAACAGGCTGAGAACCATTCCTCTTTTTGAAAGAGACCCTTGTGTACAATCCAAGCAAATGAAAGTGGAACATGTGGAATGTGTTGAAGCATTAGCTTCTATGGCAAGTAAGACATTTATAATCTGGGATCATGCTATAGCACCACTGTTGTTTCAATGAGGTCACTTCCTGTAGGTCTTTCACTTCCTCCTTCGACCACAGTATTTACCCTGACAGCCCGCGCCTAAGTACCAGAGAAGAGATAGTTGTGACAGTTACATGACATACAACATACATAATGTTCGGGTAAAACTTACACTGTAAAACATGTTAAGCTAGTTCAGTATTAAAAGTCTGAGTTAAATGAATAATTTGTTGTAAGTTGTAATGTAAAATAAGTTAATATTGTCAGAATAGCTTGCTAAGTGATATTATCTCAGTTAGGATCAGTCAAGCACATAGTTCCTTTATTTGTGGCTAAACTATGACTGAGACCACTACTTTGTACTTTTCTAGTTAATTCAGAGAAGAAGCTTATACTTTACAATAGAAGCTGCTCCTAGTGGCTTTGTTGAATTCAAAGTGTATAGAGATCACTACTAAAGTGGACAATAACGTTGATCATGGTTGGCATCAAAGGAAATAACCACAATGTACAAACCTTTTTATCATGTAAAGTTTTTTTAAACTAAAAGGAAATGACTTTGTGGAGAATTTGAATCCTCTCATATGCTGAATCCTGGGAAGTGTACTGATAACTGTGTGTCTTTGTAAACTTAATCTGATTAGTTTAGTCAATGCTCAGCTGAACATTTATTGAAAAAGAAGAAGTCATGATTGTAAGCTCTGGGATGGGTCTAAATGGTAACTAGGATTCGAGTACAACGTTTTATAGTCTATTGATATGGCTTACTCTAAAACAATACAATGCGTATGATGTTTACCTCTGTAGCCCCCAGCTCCCAGTAAGGCCTGCATGGCTGCATATTTGGCTGCCTTCTGTGCCTTGGCTAATGGACATGAAAGTAAAAGGTTATTCTGCAGATACAGGCTCTCTACAATAACATCCAGCAGAGAGATTTTAAAAGCATACATGAATGCGTATTTTATTTTATCGATTTCATTGTCAAGATAATAAGAGATAATTAAAAATTCAGATGTCAGATTTTCTCACTTTTGTGCTTAAACTAATATTAAAACGTTACTTGTGTGCCATGTGTGTACAGTATATTTATGTGTTAATGCTGGACATGTGTATTGAGGGACTGGAGCTAATGAGAGCATGCTTTCTTACATTTTTGCCCAGCCCCTGCATATCCTAGAGGACAATAACAGGAAAGACAGAGTCATAATAAACAATTGATAATCTTTACAATGTTCTCATTTACCGGATTTGTTATCTCAGCAATGACAAATATTCACTACCTCAAGCCTGACACTCAAAAACATTTTCTGTTTTCATACTTTGTCTGCATATAATCATTGGTGTTGATACCTTTGGGTATCTACAAGGTTTGGATGTTAAATGTATTGTTTATCATTTTAAATTTTTACAAAGACTATGCCAAGTGTCAATAAGAGAGTCAAAATGTGACCATGTGCTTCTGTCTTACCTGTATAGCCTCCACCAGCAGTGCCACCATAGCCAGGGCCAACACCCCCTGCTGGAACAATGGACACATTACAGCCTGCATCACTTAATAAAATGCACTTCTCTGATCAGACTGGTCTCAACAGCAGTCAGGTAAAGGTATTTTTTGTGCTGTGGTCTGAGTTTTGTGAATGCATTTGTTTTCAAATCTCAAAATATTAAATTGCAAATGTTTGTACTCTTACTTTATTGTTCTGTAGTGTAGCAATGCTCCATTTAAACTGACCTGGTAGGCTGCCCGCTCCTCCTCCTTGACCTGTTCCTGCAGGACCTCCTGGCCCTCCTGTCCCTCCTGCTACACTACCTGGGCAGGTAAGTGAGTATAAAGGTGTAGAAATCAGCTAAGCACCATGATACACAGTTTACTGTTAGCAGAGTACTTGCCCTTCTACAAAGACAACACCAGGCACATTGGAAAAGAATATGAAGTTGCGCTTGGACAGTATGTGCTCTGCCTTAAGTAACTCCTTTTGTAGTCACTATTTTCCTTTATAAACAAGAAACTCACCTGCTCCCCCAATGATTCCCCCTGTTCCTGCACCAGGAAGTCCCCCTACTCCAGTGTGGATAATTAGCTTAGTAAGTTAATTATCTCAAAGAAACACACTTCAGTGAATACACTAAAAGATGGTCGTGGAGTCAAGGCTTACAGGTTATTGTATTTTGTCATATAAGCTTGTACTTTATACGGTATAATATGGAAAGGAATTGTTCTATTTTATTGTTATTGTCATATCCTGGCCAATACTGGCCTTTGCTTTTTTTTAAACATTTACTTGAAAATGGCACTGTATGGCCAATACCCAGTAACAATATAAATTTGCATCAGTAATTATCTGAACATTTTAATGAAATATTTATATGCATCAGTAAAGGATTTTACCTGGTCTATAGCCAGTTCCACCCAATGACGAGCCGTATCCTGCTTCGCCAGGTCCATAGCCACCCACACCACCAGGTCTAAAACCCCCTGGCCCAGTTCCAGCACCTCCTGGGCCATAGCCACCAGTTCCAGCACCTCCAGGCCCAAAACCAAAAGGGCCTGTCCCAGTTCCAGGTGGACCATACCCAGCTCCCCCATAACCTGAAATAAAGGATGAGACATAATATAGTCAAACATTGTTGAAACAATACAATGTAATAAGTGTGTCCATCAGGACAAAGCGTCTTTGTATCTCACTTGCCGTAGTTTTACTTGTATATTGATTACCTACCAGATTTAGAAGGTTTTCTTTTTCCTAAGCCTTGGCCCTCTGGTCTGAAGCCTCCTGTTCCTGTGCCAGCGCCACCTGGTCCAAAGCCACCGGTTCCTGTGACAGCACCACCTGGTCTAAAACCACCCGGTCCTGTGCCTGCAACACCTGGTCCAAACCCACCGGTTCCTGTGCCAGCACCACCTGGTCCGAAACCACCTGGGCCTGTGCCTGCACCACCTGGTCCAAAGCCACCGGTTCCTGTGCCTGCACCACCTGGTCCGAAACCACCTGGTCCTGTGCCTGCACCACCCGGTCCTGTGCCTGCACCACCTGGTCCAAAGCCACCGGTTCCTGTGCCAGCACCACCTGGTCCGAAACCACCTGGGCCTGTGCCTGCACCACCTGGTCCAAAGCCACCGGTTCCTGTGCCTGCACCACCTGGTCCGAAACCACCTGGTCCTGTGCCTGCACCACCTGGTCCTGTGCCTGCACCACCTGGTCCAAAGCCACCGGTTCCTGTGCCTGCACCACCTGGTCCGAAACCACCTGGTCCTGTGCCTGCACCACCTGGTCCTGTGCCTGCACCACCTGGTCCAAAGCCACCGGTTCCTGTGCCTGCACCACCTGGTCCGAAGCTTCCTGTTCCACCCAGTGAGGATGATCCATAGCCTGTCAGAAGGAGTAAACAGCCTGAATAAATATTTAAACATGATACATACATAAAATGTAATTATAAAAAAAAAATCATTGTACCTGATTTGGGGGGCTTTCTTTTCCCCAGAGCTTGACCTCCAGCAGTATAAACACCAGGTCCATAGCTGCCTGGTCCTGCACCAACACCACCTGGTCCATAACCACCTGGCCTAGTTCCAACACCACCCAGTTCAGTCCCGGCAGTGCTGGGACCATATCCACCTGGTCCAGTGCCACCAGGACCGCCAGGCCCAAATCTGCCTGGTCCAAAACCTCCTGGACCAGAACCAACTCCACCTGGTCCAGTCCCATAGCCACCAGGCCCAACCCCAGTACCACCAGCTCCTGCTCCGTAACCTAAAAAGAAATACTGGTTCAGTTTATGTTCTCTGCATAAATGCTTGTATCTGTATGTTTACTCTGTATAACTATAATCATACTTTTTGGTGGTTTGCCAGTGCCGGTACCCAGTCCTGGACCTGTGCCATATCTTGAACCTGGATAACAGAACATATAAAATAAGCAGTTAAGCAACATTTCAGTTACATGCTATTTAAATGCGATGTGTTCTTTTTCCAACAAAATTGAAGTTATTGCATAAATTTCAATTTTCATAGAGGTCAACTTACCACCAGGACCCACACCACCACCATATCCCCCCAATCCACCACCCACTCCACCGGGGCCTGCTCCTACTCCTCCTCCCGCACCTCCAGGTCCAGCTCCATATCCACCAGGCCCAGCACCATAACCACCTGGGCCAGCCCCGTAACCTCCGGGTCCTGCACCATAACCTCCTGGAACAGTACCATAGCCTCCAGGACCAGCTCCATAACCACCAGGCCCAACCCCACCCTGGCCTCCTGCTCCAAGAGTCCCATACACTGATAGAAAGATAAAAAAGCTAAATGTATCATGTAGATTCTTTTATTGCCGAGGCTAAAGCAAGTCCTTATTAAAGAGAAGTGCATATAGTTGACAGTTTATAGAACCTTTGCCTGTTTTCCCGGATCCCTGTCCTACTCCAGCTCCAGATGGGTAACGGATACCTGAGGAAAAAAGAGACATACTGTACTCTAGGTATTTTAGGTTTCAGTCTTCTCTTTGCTATAACTTAGATGGTAAGGATATTGTTAGTTAACACACCTCCACCTGGTAAAACTCCAGCTCCACCAGCAGCGTAGCCTGTAATGGATAATGTGTGAAATGTCATGTCATTGTAATATAGGCATGTAGGTTTGGGATGAAAACACAAACATTTCAGAGACCAACACATGGTAACAGCTCACTTTTTCCAGGTTTAAGGGCTCCTGTTCCTACTCCACCAGACCCACTAGCCCCAGGTACCAGGCCTGCTCCTCCAGGACCGCCTCCAACTCCTCCCGGACCTCCTCCAACTGCCCTAGTTCCACCTGCTCCACCAGGTCCACTACTTACTCCTCCTGCTACAGTCCCGTCAGGTTTGTATGCTACATTTAAAAAATAAACACATATTATAGATCTTATTCTTCAGTAAATACAGATTTTTTATCCATTTCACATTGTAAAAATGGCACCTTTGGGCGGTTTTGGTGTTCCTCCTACTCCACCAGCTGCACCTCCTGGTCTGACTCCAGTTCCAGTTGCCGGACTGTCTCCTCTCGCGACTCCTGTTACTCCACCTGAAACACCTCCTGCTGCTCCTGCACTGGTAGGACGCCCTCCTACTCCTCCAGGTCCTTCACCTGTGCCTCCTGTGCCACCTCTCTCTCCATCAGAAACTCCCTCTCCATCTCCTTCACCTGGTGTGTCACCTCTGGGGACACCTGCAGACAGAGCACAGGATACCAGACCTGTATTTTAGCATAGAATTAAAACTAGAAGCAACAAAGTCATTAACGGTCAAAACTATAACATACAAACCAACATCGCAGAGAAGCCTGGTGAGTATTCTTTTTTTCTTTCATTGGCTTTCACAAGTCGCAAGCCTTCCTTTGCACAAAATACTTTTGTCACCTGTCTTTTTATATTTTTCATGGCATAATCTGAACTAGGGTAGGCTGATAAGTCACTCTTTGGAGGTCATATATAGCAACTTGTGTTTTTCTATTGAGAATGTGCTGTAAGTTATCCTGAAACTTGAGTTGTAAATTGTGGGGGTAAATTGGATCTTATTTTATTTACCTGGGGGTTTGAGAGGTTTGGCTCCAGGCAGTGTCCCACTTGAAAGATCACCACCAGAACCTGCAAAATTATAAGGGGAATTTAAGAAAATTCAAGAAATATATTCCTTGATTTCGACCATAAGATCTCTGCTGTGAGCAACTAGAAACTGAGCAAACAAGAAATCTCAGAAGCACAAGTAGAAATCATTCCTTCAGAAAGTTTATGAAGGTTACCTACCACTTGGTTGTACAGCCCCGCCACCAACTGTAATAACAGAAATATAGATTAAAGATTGGGCAGCTATCAATCATAAACAGTTACACAATACATTTTCAAATGTAAGTCCTCTGTAAATATGTTTGTAGCCAGCTTCAGTCATCAGCTAGTGTCAGTCTGCCATGCAGTTTTCAGTAGGGCCAGTTGTGTGATAGGAAGTTTGAGAAAGACACTCACTCTCAGGGACAGGTAAACCAGTGACAGTTGTGAAAGCATTCAAGTTGAGAAATACTGTGATCTGCATCAAAATGTAAAGCATTTGTGATAGTGTGATATGCCACTGTTTTATATTAGGCAGATTTTAAATTACGGCCATGCAATTTCAAAATCCGTAGTCCTTTACTATATAATAAGCTCTATTTACCTCCCGCAAGTAACATCTTTATGCTAACTTTCCAATACTTTATGTCAACTTACCAGGGACAGCTCCTGCGGCATCTGTAGGATATGAGAAGAAAGTTGTCAGTCAAAGTTAATTCCTAACAAGCAAATGTGTTGGTCCCTTGTAGATGTTACATGCATTACTTGGACCAGTTAGAAACATAGCTCAGGATCATTGATATGTTTTCTTCTACACCTCAAAGTTCAGAAGTTATGAATCAAAACCTAAATTTGGATGGCCACATGATGGCACTGTCCACACCAAAATTTAAGAAACACTCTTGCTTTGCTCTCTGCCAATTTTAATTGAAATGTGGGTAATGGTAAGCAAAGAAAGAAAGGGCTGAAACATAACATAACCTCCTTGGCCTAAAATGACACAGCCAGAGATGCATCAGAAATGGATGAACATGTAGACAAAAAGGCAGAAGTGATACAATGAAAAATACAATGAAATAAACACTGACCTGGAACTTCTGTCCCGTTGAGTCCTGTTTTATAAAGATATTTTAAAAAAGCATAAAAGTGAGAAGACATCATAGCTGAGACAATAGCTAGAAGAGTTTCTCCACCATAACACATTTTAAATAATACTACTCCCAAAACACTCCTGAATTAATAAATAAACCCCTTTTGTAGCATAAATGACCTAAATACCTGGTTTTGCACCAATGATGGGGATTCCTGTTCCACCCAGGCCATCTCCATCACCTCCTGCACCCACTGGTCTGCCAGCTACTCCAGTACCTCCTGTTTAATAATGATGTAATGTAATTGTCTTAATTGTCTTGTGGACATGTTTTTTACAGGATATACAGTTCAATGTTTATAAAAAAATATGTGCAAATAAATCAGATCATTTCCACAGATATTTGCCATGCAGTCTGTGGGGGATCTTCTGTAACCATCAGATTATTACATCCTTGCATCTGAATCTTTGCATGATTTCAAGGTAAGAAAAGTCAGGTTCTTAAGGATCCAGCAAGTTTAAACACACCTTCTCCTCCAGAACTTCCAGAGCCCTCAATCACACTGCCAACACCACCATCACCTAGCAAAATATTAAAAGGACTGAGATTTGAAAACAGTACTGTATGTAAAGGAGGGAAGTGGTATGTTGTAACAATAATCAGATAAGATAATGTCATTGGAAGCTGAAAACACAGAATACATTAGTAGCATGTTATACATAACTAGGAAGTATGTTAAAAACATCAGAAATCCTGAAAAAAGTGCCAAATACCTGGGCTTTGGGGAAGTGTGTAAATGGAATTAATCAAACAGACAATGGCAAAATTTAATCCTAGATAAACTAATTTTCTCTCTCCCATTCTTCTAAACATTCACCTCCATCACTGTCTTTTCTATTCTTATTATATTTTATATTAAAACTACTGTAATGGAAACCCTGTGAGTGAATGTATTGTTGTGGTAATATGTAACAAAAAATGTGATCACCAACTGTTGGTGACAAAACAGATACCTTCTGATGCTGGTGCTGGTGTGCCTCCTGTGGCTCCAGGTCCTCTTCCTGATGCAGCAGACATAGATTATCACACATAGGTTATCTAATTAACAAACCAAATGTATACTCTCCTCAAAATCAAAGCTTACCACTGGGTCCCACTGTTGTCCCTGCGCTGGTGCCAGTGCTGGTGCCATTCACTGAAACACCAGTGCCGGTTCCTGTACCAACTACTGCAGTGCCAGTCCCTGCCCCGGGTACAACTCCACCAGGTTGCCCTACAGTTTATAAAAGAGAATCTGGTAAATTCAAAAGAGTTGCTTATAGACAACTCTGTTCCTCAGTTTAACAACTATACAATACACACACACATATATATATATATATATATATAGAACACATAATGTTCTTGACACAGTCAAACTACACCTTACCATACTTAGCAGCTTTAGATCCAGCTGTACCATAACCTGAGAATCACAACAAATAAGATGTGTTGCTCGGGTGATTAAAAACAGTGATAAAAAAATACATTCCTACAGAAAAGATAAGCAATTAAAGGTGGCCAGTAGCATTACTGACTAGTGCTAATTACAAAATCATTTTACCTGACTGAGATTTCTAATATCACTTTCCAGCATGAAGTTGGACTTGTGCTTTTTGGAGTTAAAGCAAAAATATGTAACTTTGCACAAACAACAACCTTCAACTACACCAAAGATGGTGGATCAACTAGTATCACAATTATTACATCATAACATCTGGCTGCTGTTGGTATTCGGATTTTTATCTGAGTGAGTGATATGTTATCAAAGTAATTGTCAAGCATGACAAGCAAGTATGACCCCAAAAATCTGATAAGTATTCCAGAATAGCTGATTTCACAACCAAGTATATGTGAGTTTTAATTGTTTACCACACTGCATTCTACTGATTGGATATAAGATGTTAACTTTGAAACCACTCCAGTCCTCCTACCTTTATACTCATATGGCCAACTTCTCTGAAAAAGTCTCAAACTACTGTAATAAAACAGATGATCATTATAATATCTTAAAATATCACTAGTTAATACCTTACTATTGTGTTTCTGTTACCAGGTATACAGCCTGATTATGTGTTTCAGTTACAGGCCAGGTGTAGTCTAAGGGACCTGTTGCTGCAATTCCTACTAACCGCCAATAGAGGTCAATAAAGGACGAGTTTATATTTACAGTGATTCAGATGTAAACACTCACATACTGTAACTACACATTACTATACAGACACTCTACTGAAAACCAACCTAGGCCTTCACTGCCAGTTCCAAACCCTCCTGGTCTATAGTCACCTATAAAATTACACAAGATAATAAAAGGAGGAAAAAAAATACCAACAAACAGAAAAAAGAACGTCCCTGTGCAATGCTCATGATCACTATAAACAACGTACCACCTCGTCCAGCTCCACCTCCAAGTACTCCACCAGCACCCGTTCCAGCTTGACCTTCACCAGGATTATATGAAAATAATTGAGGTTTAGTTTGGATGAAACATTAATCATTATGTTTTTAAGAGACAAAAAGGGACGTTTTAATACCATATTTAGCAGGTTTTGATCCAGCGCTGCCATAACCTGTAAGTAACAGAAATCAAATAGTTTTGGGATTCAGGATTTAGCTCATATTGAGTTTGGCAACATTTATGTTGGACAAAATTAAAATTGCCCCCTGAACCTGTTCCATATCCAGACCCTGGTCCTGCACCATAGCCTCCACCTGGTCCATAACCAAATCCAGGCCCATATCCTGTTCTTCCAGTCCCACCAGGAAGCCCTAGGGAGGAGGAAATGGGCAAGGATTTTTAGCTCTAATAAAGGGTTGAAATATATTTAAAATGTTTGTCTTTCAAGAAGAAACACCTACTCTGACAAAGTTGTTTCTTGTACGAAAAGGAACAGCAAGAAGCAAGTTTACACTTTACACTTGATTAGTGTAATTAAATTCATGTGTATAATATGCTTTATAATATTTTTGTTATTGTTTGTTTCACACAGTTTTAGAGGCTCTATTCACACCTCCAGCACTGCCTGGTCCAAAGCCACCCGGTCCTCCTCCCGTTCCAACACCCGAACCAGGCATCACACTGGTCCCCAGTCCTGCTCCAGGTCCACCACCAAATCCTCCTGCACCCAGGGCACCTCCAGTACCTCCTGGAAGACCTGCAGACAGTAGCATTTTATCAGAAAATATAAACTAACCTGATTTCACTCAGAGCCCACAACACACAATAGGCTGTTTTCATCGCAGACATTTTGACATGTTATAGGTGGAAAAGAATATGTACTATTAATTCTGTTGATACAAATTACATTAACAGATTGAATATAAAGACCATGAGAGTGCTTGATGACGAATATATAAATCTGCTTTAGTACATTTTTAAAGTAGTTTCTTACCATATTTGCGGGCTTTGGCACCAGCATACCCTGCAAAATGCAGACACATTAATATCTTTTAAGAGTATTAAATTAGCCAAAGGATCTATTTGAATTCAAGCATGCCTCTTTAATTACATATATCTCTGTCTTTTATCCTACCTCCAGGTCCATATCCAGCACCACCAGGTCCAACTCCTCCACCTGGTCCATAGCCAGTACCAGCACCACTTGGTCCAACTCCACCTGGTCCATAGCCAGTACCAGCACCACTTGGTCCAACTCCTCCTGGTCCATAGCCTGTCCCAGCACCACCTGGTCCAACCCCACCCTGTCCATAGCCAGTACCACCAGGTCCAACTCCTCCTGGTCCGTAGCCAGTCCCAGTACCACTTGGTCCAACTCCTCTACCTGGTCCATAGCCTGTACCAGCACCACTTGGTCCAACTCCTCCACCTGGTCCATAGCCTGTACCAGCACCACTTGGTCCAGCTCCTCCTGGTCCATAGCCTGTCCCAGCACCACCTGGTCCAACCCCACCCTGTCCATAGCCAGTACCACCAGGTCCAACTCCTCCTGGTCCGTAGCCAGTCCCAGTACCACTTGGTCCAACCCCACCTGGTCCATAGCTGGTACCAGCACCACCAGGCCTGACTCCTCCAAGTGCTCCACTTAACATGCCTTTGAGAAGAACAGTCATTTTTATTTGTTCTGATATTCTTTCATAAATGCAATAATACACTAATAATACATTTGCATATTTTTTGTTATATAACTGTTCTTACCATATTTTTGAGCTTTGGCACTGGCATCATATCCTGAAATACAAATATAGTAATTATGATTATTATTATTTGTCTTACATTAATTTGTCTTTGCTAATGCAGTGCTGTCTGTCAAGTTACCATTAATACTGAATCTTAAGTTATTACTGTTAATACTGTATCTTAAAGCTAGGGTAGGCAAGGTTGGAGAAACTTGAAGCGAGACAGCTAGATATTGAAAGTATTCAATCGAAAAAATCCCACCTCCTCCCTTCAGGCCTCCGTCCAAAGCCACTCCCCCAAACCCCATTTTGTTTGTTTCTGTGTCTTAAGTTAGTGCTGTTAATACGGTATCTTGAGCCGCTACTGATCCATAATTACCTCCAGTTCCTGTTCCTGCTCCTCCTAATCCAGTTCCACCTGGCCCGTACCCAGTTCCACCTGGCCCATAACCCACTCCTCCAGGACCAGTACCAGCACCTCCAGGTCCAACTCCACCTGGTCCAAAGCCAGTACCAGCACCACCTGGTCCAACTCCACCTGGACCATACCCAGTACCAGCACCACCAGGTCCAGCTCCACCTGGTCCATAGCCTGTACCAGCACCACCAGGTCCAACTCCACCTGGTCCATAGCCAGTACCAACACCACCAGGTCCAACTCCACCTGGTCCATATCCTGTACCAGCACTACCTGGTCCAACTCCACCTGGTCCATAGCCTGTACCAGCACCACCTGGTCCACCACCAGGCCTGACTCCGCCAGTACCTGTTCCTGTACCAAGTGCTCCACTTAACATTCCTAAGAGGAGAACAACAGTAATTTTTTATTTGCTCTGATATTCTTTGTAATTACAATTATACATTAATAATACAGTAGCATATGTTCAGTTATAAAATTGTTCTTACCATATTTACGAGCTTTGGCACTGGCATCGTAGCCTGAAATACAAATATAGAAATTATATTTATTATTGTTATTTGTCTTTGCTTATGCAATACAGTCTATTGATTACTGTATACTTTATCTTAAACTTGTTTAAGATTACTGTAGCATAAATATAGACAACATTTTCCAATACCCTAAATCTAGTGATTCATAATTACCTCCAAGTCCTGTTCCTGCTCCTAATCCAGTTCCAGCTGGCCCATACCCGGTTCCAGCTGGCCCATAACCTGCTCCTCCAGAGACAGTGCCAGCACCACCAGGACCATACCCAGTGCTGACCCCACCTGGACCAAAACCAACACCAGAGCCAGGTCCTACTCCCGTGCCGAGGCCAACTCCTCCTCCCGTGCCGAGGCCAACTCCTCCTCCCGTGCCGAGGCCAGCTCCTCCTCCCGGTCCTCCGCCTCCAAGGCCTCCAAGGCCTCCAAGGCCTCCAGCTACACCAGTGCCTGCACCGCCTGGCCCACCTGGGTGATTAAAAGAATTCTGAGTGTGTCTCTCAGCTATAGATAAAAGAGGTTGTGAAATGCACACAATGCATACTCATCATGTTATTTTGGTATTTTACAAAAATGTTTAAATATGTCTCACCATATTTGCGTGCTTTGGCTGAGCCAGGTCCGTAACCTATGGCACAAAACAACGTCTAAGTAAAAGACGAAACACGACACGAGCTTTACAAACCTATTTTAAATATTACCCTAAAAGACCTGCAAACGGTTTTACCTAAACTAGCTGTTCCAACTCCACCTCCAAATCCAGGAACAGCTCCAGGTCCACCACCTGTTCCAACTCCACCTCCAAATCCAGGTACAGCTCCAGGTCCACCACCTGTTCCAACTCCGCCTCCAAATCCAGGAACAGCTCCAGGTCCACCACCTGTTCCAACACCGCCTCCAAATCCAGGTACAGCTCCAGGTCCACCACCTGTTCCAACGCCGCCTCCAAATCCAGGTACAGCTCCAGGTCCACCACCTGTTCCAACACCGCCTCCAAATCCAGGTACAGCTCCAGGTCCACCACCTGTTCCAACACCGCCTCCAAATCCAGGTACAGCTCCAGGTCCAACTCCACCTCCTAATCCAGGTGCGACTCCCACTCCTCCTCCAGGGAGTCTTCCTGCCCCAAACCCCAAAGTGCCTCCTTGACCAAGTGTATCTCCTCCAGCTCTAGCTCCACCTGGTCAAGAAAACAGGTGTGCTTACAAAAATGTGAATACAGAGTATTTAATAATTAGATGATGGTAATTCCTCATGCCAGATATTTTTATATCATGAAATTATTATGTAACTGTCATATGTTGAACGTGAGGCTGATATCTCAACAATGTATCTTTACCGTATTTAGCTGCAGCTTTGGCTGGATTTTTTGATTTGCCCGCACCTGTAATTGAAAGAAGTAATTTTCTACTTTTTGGAATTTCTTCATTCACATTTATTATTGACGTCATGTAACTCGCCATGCAGCTGCAGAGTTTACTGCATTACTGGTTCCTGTGTACCTGATTTTGGTGATATGAGAGGGTAACCACGAAAAACCCCAGGCAACTGCTGTCCACGACCATCTAAGAGGAGAAATACACAGGGATGCTCATCCTTTGAAATAGCAGTAAATGTTAATAAACTTTTGATATTAAAAATGAAGTAATGCAAGCAAACAAATCTGCTTGTAATATAACACAGTTTGCCAGTTTAGGACTTTATGAATCTTACTGCCCGTTACTCCTGGTCCAGTACCACCCTGGCCGAGTACTCCAGTCCCTGTGAGGAATGAGGCAACAGTTTTTAGAGATGTTCCAAGATCACAACAAGATGTGATGTTCCTAGATTCATTATCAAAGAATAAACACACCAGTCTGAGGGCCAAGTCCAGACCCTGTGGCTACTCCAGGGAGAACCCCACGGCCTCCAAAACCTAGCCAGGAAAGATGAGAACAACTGTTACAACTCTGTCTGTAAACACACTGAATCCCTCCACAATGACATGTTATTGTATTGTTACAATACATACCTTGGCCTGGTACAAATCCACCTTGATAGAGTCCAGGCACCCCAACTCCTGTGTGAATATACACAAATTTAGAACATTTTCTCCCAAAATATCAGTGTTACTGATTCACCATAAACTTACATAACAAACGGTTTTACAAAGAGTTTACCTGGAACTTGTTTAGATGCTTTACCACCACTCTTTCCTCCAGGTCCTCCACCAGTAGTACCTGTCTGTGGCAGCATTGGAACTGAAGCAGGAATGAAATAAAGAGTCTTTACTTTTGTAGATAAAAGATCACTTTTACACAGAACTGAAATAGCAAAACAGCATATTTTATTCATCTGGTAATTCTTAGTTATGAAAAGTTAACAGTGAACAACACTTTACAGGACATACTAAATAATACTTGAAATAAACTTTTCCCTGGAAATTCAATATATCTTATTGATTTCACTAATGTTAATGTAAAATTTATGTTTACAGTACTTAATTGCATTTAAGCTATATTGCTTTTTATGTGAAACATGTTCTCTATTGTAGAATACATTTACTATATGTTGTTGTGTACATTATAATATAATGTAAATCATGTTCTCTACCTCCTCCTGGCACAGCAGCTCCGCCAGGACTGACTCCTGCTCCTCCAGGTCCAAATCCTGCACCACCAGGCCCAAATCCTGCTCCACCAGGCCCAAATCCTGCTCCACCAGGCCCAACCCCTGCACCCCCAGGCCCAAATCCTGTTCCACCAGGCCCAACCCCTGCACCACCAGGCCCAAATCCCGTTCCACCAGGCCCAACCCCTGCACCACCAGGCCCAAATCCTATTCCACCAGGCCCAACCCCTGCACCACCAGGCCCAACCCCTGCACCACCAGGTCCAAACCCTACACCACCAGGCCCAACACCTGTACCCCCAGGCCCAAATCCTGTTCCACCAGGCCCAACCCCTGCACCACCAGGCCCAACCCCTGCGCCACCAGGCCCAACACCTGTACCCCAAGGCCCAAATCCTGTTCCACCAGGCCCAACCCCTGCACCACCAGGCCCAACCCCTGCGCCACCAGGCCCAACACCTGTACCCCAAGGCCCAAATCCTGTTCCACCAGGCCCAACCCCTGCACCACCAGGCCCAACCCCTGCACCACCAGGTCCAAACCCTGCACCACCAGGCCCAACCCCTGCACCACCAGGCCCAAATCCAGCACCACCTGGCCCATAACCTGTTCCTCCAAGTGGTATTCCAGCTCCACCTAAGGTAAAACACCCCCCCCACACACACACAAAATTCAGTCATATTTCAGTGATTTCGGCTTTGTAATGTTCATTAGTAAACAGAAAATACCAGTTTTGGGAGGTTTGGGTCCAGTCCCACCAGTTCCTGGGAATTGACCAGCACCACCTGGTCCATAACCACCTCCGAAGCCTCCAAAGCCACCTGGGTCAGAACAGAGGTTAATAGACATGTATACCTCAAGCTAAGCAGTTTTTACAAAGGTAAGTATTGTGTAGTGTGACCTATTAAGGTCACAAAACTAAAGAAGAGAATCATTTTTCAGTCATATTGTTGGGTGTTTCAGAGGAGCACCCCTGGTTCATTTGTGATTCTTTGTGTCATGCACATTGCTTAGGCAAACAGTGTGTAGAAGGTACAGACGTATGAGCCAGCTATGTTTATTCATAAAACTGAAAGTACCTTGATCAAGATCTTATTATGGAGTAAATAAATAAAAAAAATTAATATGTTGTCCAATGATTGCATCACAGTGCAAAAACAATTGACTTACTTTATTAATGCATTTATTCATTCATGCAGTTGTTGCTTACAAGAAGAAACAGAAAAAGACCTATGCATTTAAACCTATTATTGGGATGTAAACCACTGACCACCAGGTATGTAGCCTGTTCCAGCTCCAAGCCCACCAGCTCCCTGGCCTCCTGCTCCAAGCACTCCTCCACCCACACCCCCTGTCCCAAGGCCTAATGAGCAGATAAAAAAGAAATAGCACTTAGTACTTCCTATACTTGCTCTAGTGATTACACTACACTACATCATACATTAATGAATTCAGCATGTCCCTGTGCTGGACTCCACCCTTTTGTAATGTTATACGTGTATGATGGCTGCCTGAGAGAGAAACCTCACAAGGATTAACTTCAAGGTTTTGAACATTTGTTTGAAGTGTGCATGGAACTAAATCTCTTACAGGGTTTGGCTGTATATGGGTCAGTAACAATTACAAGGCTGCAGAGAAGTAACTGAAGCCTGTGTGGTGAGCCGGTAAGAAAATCCATTGGGAGAGTCCTTCGTTTTAACAAAAACTGCTGCCACATCAAGCTTAATTAATTGTTTCACATCCTGTTGAAGAGAGCTGGGACCCATAATGCTTCATTTCGAAATACAAGATTTTAAACTAGGTCAGCCAACATTTGGTTTAAAAAAGCCATTTCGTCCTGCAATGTTATCTTAAATATAAGCACTATCTGGGTCACTATGTTTATTGAACAGTTTTGGCTTAAATTGGTTTTGTGGACTTTTGCTTGAAATTACAGCAGTGTTTATACATGCACACCTCCCATTTCTTGTTCAAGTGAACCAGAATGTTTGCACCTTATTCTTCAGGGTGGAGAAGGGCAACACAAACAAACTTTGTGGGTGTTATTATGAAGCGTAGATTTTAAAAAAATGTGTTCGGCTGAGATGGCAGACTTTTGGTAAACCGGAAAGTGTTTGTGAGTCTGTTTCCTGTGCTTACACTGAAATTCACAAGGTTCCACAGAACCGAGGCTTAACCTCTATCGTTTAGGTATTATCACCAACATTCCTCATCCTGCACAGGCAACTCGTATGTTAGGCGGATGAAAAACAGAGGTCTGAAATTCCAAAGCAAATCAGTCTTTCTGACTGATGGGATGACTTCCGCCCTTTATCAGGGACCTGCCATGTCTAATACATTAGCCTTAATCACTATGTGTGTGCATTTGTGTGTGCATGAGGGTGGGTGGCCCCTCAAGAACAGCTTATAACCTTGAGGTAATGAGGAAATGAAATAATGGTACACATGTATGCAATCCTTATCCTGCTGTATTGAATTGACCAGAGGAACAATATTTACAGTACAGTGGCTGACCACTGATCCATTTGTTCAGAGCAGGGAACGTCCGCTAATTATGAAGGTCACATGATGTAAGTAAACATAGCAGGCAAGCATCTGTAGGTAATGAGCTTACTAGATTTTTAAACTACATTTTAATAATAGTCTTCCTATAGAACATATGATCAGGTATTAAAAGTAACCAGCATTTTTCTGGTGCTCATCAGTCAGGCTGGCTGTGTGCACTGGGTGTAGCAGTGAAGCAGTAGTGTAGCAGTTCATTCATTATCTCATTTTGACATAGTAGAGAGTTTTTATGATTAATGAGGGAGATGTTTTATTTTGTATTTTATTTGTCTTTTTCACCAGCACAAGACAAACGCTATTACTTAATCCTTCCAAGAGATGGAAGATCTAATATTATTCATTAAATATGTTTACGAGCCAAAAAAAACAAAACTCCATGCCTGTGCCTTGGCCACCTGGACCAGTGCGTCCTGGTCCAAAACCACCTGGACCAATTCCTCCAGGCCCAGTTCCAAATCCTCCAGGACTGACACCACCTGGTCCAAAACCACCTGGACCAACTCCTCCAGGCCAAGTTCCATATCCTCCAGGACCGACACCAACTGGTCCAAAACTACCTTGACCAACTCCTCCAGGCCCAGTTCCATATCCTCCAGGACCGACACCACCTGGTCCAAAACCACCTGACCCGACTCTGCCGGGTCCCTGTCCTGCTCCAAACCCTCCAGTCCCTCCTCCACGACCACCATAGCCAACTCCTAGAGACAAATACTAAGGACTACAATTCTTTGGGAGTCTACAAAATACAATCTTGAATCAGTGCACCTGAAAGTCTTACCGGTTTTTGGCGGCTTTCCACCTGTGAGAGGAAAGCAATCAAACAGTTAAACCAACAGTGGCATAATGGAAATATTGCTTGGTGGAATAAATAAATAATCAAGATGTCAACCAGCCATATTTGTCTTACCTGCCCCAACGCCTCCAGGACCAATTCCCAGTCCACCACTGCCTGGACCGAAGGTGCTGGGCCTGAAACCACCTTGTCCCACTCCTCCAGGTCCCACTCCTCCAGGTCCGACTCCTCCCGGTCCGACTCCTCCAGGCCCCACTCCTCCAGGTCCGACTCCTCCTGGTCCAACTCCTCCTGGTCCAACTCCTCCAGGTCCAACTCCTCCAGGTCCAACTCCTCCAGGTCCTTGACCACCATAGCCCCCTGAATACGGTCATTGGAACGTTGTAAGTTGAAAACATACACGAACACATGCATGTAGATTAAGACAAAGCAGATGTTGGTGCAGAAAGTGAAAGCATCAACACATCGTTCACACATTTATAGCCTGTAACCTGGAACTCCTCTAGTAACTGATGTCATTTAAACAAAACACTGAAATTTAAAATATGGCAATTCTATAAGTGATGAAAAAAGGGTAAGGCCTGCACACTTACTCTGACCTGACGAAGATCCAAGTAAGATAAAAACGTTGTCATTATTAAACTTTTTGTGGCATGGAGTGAGTTTACAGGTGATATAATTTACTGTGTTCTCTTGTACAGTTAAACATGTCAGTCCTCATGTCTAACGTTTTACTGAAGTCATAATCAGCATTTATAAAATGTACCAGAAAATACAAATGACATTCACCTCCACCAGCTCCTGGTCCAAAGCCTCCTCCTGCTCCTGGTCCAGCTCCTCCTCCAGGCTGAAATCCAGTCCCAGCTCCTCCAGGGCCAAATCCAGTCCCACCTGGTCCAAATCCAGCTCCAGGTCCTGCACCAGCTCCTATGCCGGCTCCAGCTCCTCCTGCTGCTCCACCAGCAGGTATATATACCCCTGATGCACAGAACCAATATGAATTTATAATGGTTTCAAGTTATAACTACTCGTCTCTATGAGTGATGAGTTATGAATGAGACTATGTACACTATTCTTTTGTGTAATAGCTGAAAAAGACCATTTGAATCAGCTTTTTACACACAACAGATTAATGGTGAATGATGTTTTCTTTGTTTTGGACTAGCAGACAGATGTGTGGAATCTATGAGTCATCATTCAGGGCTAACGAGGCATCTTGTTCTCCTCTTTGCCAGCACTTAATAAAACCCATTTAATTTGTCCAGATAACAAGGATCACATTTAAAAAATATGATCAGCTGCTACACAAGCAGAGAGTAAAAGTATGTGTGTGTATATATATATGTATGTGGGTGGTTGTGTATAGCGATTAGTGCTGTGTCTTGGGTTTCTCTGTAGCTGATAACAAGCAGCCCTTCATCCAAAAAGGCATGCTTCTTTGGTCATAATTCTCACACTTTTCTGCACCTATGTTTTTGTCCACAAATCATGATAGCCAAAAATAGAAACACAGAGAGAGAACAACTATAAAAGGAAAGGTTTTTTAAGATCTCACAATCCAGATGTGAAAAGAAGAGGTCTGTAGGGATTCCTAAAGAATGTGAGTTACTGATCTCACGTTAATGCCATGTACAGCACATTAACAACAAGCAGTAAATAACGTAAGTGTTCAGTCATCCAGTTCTGCCCGCTGGATTCTGCAGGACAAGCTTTTGTTGTTACTACACACTCATGTTCACCAGTGAAGACGGCATAAAACAGGAGATAGTTTTTTCTATTTAATATGTAGAGATTGTCCAGGGTTCACTGTTTGGAAAATATTTTTTTTACGGTGACATTATTGATGTCTTATTTTCATTGTCCCTGAGATCATACTGTGACTGTTATTGTTTTCAGCTGCCCTGGTACTGTGGCTCGAGGAGTGACAGTGTCAGTCTCTCAGTTGGCCCACCACTTTGGTGTTGACTGAAATATATCAACTCTGTTGGATGGATTGCTATGAAATTTTGTACAGACATTAATGACCCCCAGAGAACTCTACTGGCTTTGGTGATCTTTGACTTTTCCTGTCACGCCAGCAGCAGGTCATCTTTTCATCTGGTGCCACATCTCAACATCTACTGCATGGATTGGCACAACATTTGATACAGGTATTCATGGTTCCCAGGGGATGAAACTGAAATGTCTTATTGGATGAATTACCCTGCAATTTGGTGCCGGCTTTCATGGTTTTGGTGAACTATAGTAATTCTTTGGCTTTTCATCTAGCACCACTATCAGGTCCAAATCTAAATGTGTCCAGTTCTTTGGTTTATGTATCCAACAGTTTGTTTTTCTTTCCTTGAGCATTACAGCCTCATAGAGCCACTAGCTGTAGACTCCTTATCTTGTTAAAGGTGTGCTGGCACTGTTTTTAATACTGATTTCAAATTGAGAAAATAAATTTGTTATGAAGACGCAGACAGTGTCACCTTATACATCTTGGTGACCTAGCAGTCTAAGATGCTGACCACGTAACCTCAAAGTTTCCTGTGTGAGTTATCTATACTGTCTTCTATCTAATAAATGCACTTTGCAAATACCATGAATATCCTGTTACCATGAATATCCTGTACTTAGAGGTTTATAGTTATGACTTAAGCTACAAATACTCATTCAGTCTACTTCAATAAAACCAAAACACAGAAATTAAACAGCCAATGATAGGTCTCCTTACTCACTACTCAGTGTACAGTGGTTCAGCCTGACCTTGTATGAATTCAAATTACACAACAGCCTGGAACAACCTTTTAAACCACCCGTGCTCTCTTCTAACAAGGTGAAAAAGAGGATCAGGGGAATATCCTTGCATCATTAAAGCAGACAAGACAATGAGACAGGATCGTGAGGGATGAGGTCTGGAAAAATTTATTAAAAGCTTTAACCATACCCCTGTTGTCCAGACCTCATGTCTCAAAAGGAGGAAGAGCTGAAAAATACACCTGGGGTTTGTGAAGTCAGAGAGAACAAGCAATGTTATTATACTGTGGTTTGTCTTAGGATTGCCGCTCTTGTTTAACATGTTTACAATTTTAAAATGCTTTCATAGTTCATCCAGACAAACATCTGGGAATTGAATCCCAAGTTTTGTTTATTCCTAAGGAAAAAAAGCACCACACTTAGATGAGTTGGCAGTGCTCTTGAAAGATTTTTGATACAGGACAGGTAAAGTATGTCCAATACATACTCAGGAGATGAGTTTGACCATTGCTTCAGGGATTACTGATTCATTAACACATTCTGTGTCTTTACCTCATAACTTCCTCGGAGACTTGAAGACAAGATGAAAACTGACTTCAGGAATTATAATGTGTCAGTGATAACCACTTATAATATTGCAAAACATATGGCCACTTCTCTCCAGTGAAACCACATTGAAACAAGTTCAACTCTTTGGTAGATGTTTGCAAATCTCTTGCAGTGTTAAAATATTTGCAGTAGGTAATTTTTTATCATCATTAAAATTCTGCAGCAGCCAATTTCTACTAGAATCCTACACAAACTCATTATCATCATCATAGTTGCTGCATCTCACATCTCTCAAATCACAGATCCCATAGAAAAAGCACTAAACTGTCAGTAAAGAAAAGAGGACCTGCTTGCAGTCCTCTCCCGCCAATGCTGCTACATAAACTTTATTTGACACCTGATACACAGGTGCTGCACTGCTGAGCGCCATACACATGCAGTAAAAGGGACCCACCTCCTTGCAGTGAAGGTTTCCACAGAGCCAGGAGAAAGACTCCATGTAGGTATGTGGCCACCATCCCTCTCGCCATCTCGCTCCCAAATGTCCCTCTCCTCTCCCGAGCTCCAGGTTTTATCCCCAGCAAGCCTATCGGGGCTCAACAAGGCCTAAAGAAAGAAGGAGGGAAAATAAGTAAGAGCAGAAAAAAAGGGGACAGGATGCAAGACAGGACACTGTGTAATTGGCTAAGAGACGCACGGAGAGAGATAGGCAAGGAAGGGGGGGGGGGGGGGGCACACTGGATCACCTCATTAAACCAAATGGGTTGTTCTAACCCCCCAGTGACTGATGGGCTGCATTTATTTGGTTCTCTGCTGCCAAACAGAGGGAGTATGAAGGGTGGGTGGGGGGCAGTGAGTGAGTGAGAGAGAGGGGGGAAACATGTATGAGAGGCAAGAGAGTTTGTGGATTGTAAAAATTAGGGCTCCCTGCTTCTCACTCACTCCAGACACATAAAAAAGAAAAAAGGAACTATGCCAGAAGTTCGTTATGGATTTCAAAACAGGCACATATCATCGCTTTAAGTATGTATGTGTTGATTACTTAAATGTTCTCCGGCATGATTTAGTTTAGTTTGGTTTAGCTTAACTTTTATTTCAAACATCTGGCCCATCCCACATGGGATTACAAGACACAGCTATTGCATATTACAAAAACAAAATGTTGCAACATTATTAAGTGTGTGTGTGTGTGTGTGTGTGTGTGTGTGTGTGTGTGTGTGTGTGTGTGTGTGTGTGTGTGTGTGTGTGTGTGTGTGTGTGTAGGGGGGTGGAGGTAATTTGGCTAGTGTATCACACATCAGAACTTATTGCCACAGAAAAATTGTAAGTCATGTACTTCCTTCCTTCCCTAGTTATCTACCCCATTGATGTGATATATACTGTGAGCTCTTACTAGTATTTATTGCTGCTCTTACTAGTATGTATTGTCAGTTGTAGATCTGTAGTTGATGCTCTGTTGATGCTTGTATGTTGTTCCTCAAATGTAAGTCGCTTTGGATAAAAGCGTCTGCCAAATGAGTAAATGTAAATGTAAATGTAAACCTGCTCTTCAAATAAAACACTACCTGAAACCAGTGAATCTCTCAGATATTAGCATCTTCTAGGAGGAGAGAAAACACTGAAGAAGTACAAGAAAGTGTAGGAGAGACAGGAAAGGGAAGAGAGAAAAATAAGGAGCAGACAAAAAATGAGCAAGCAAAAAAAGAAACGCACAACTAATGTAATGCACCTTCCTAGTGCCAGGCTCCTACTAATGACTCTCACAGGGCTACCATGTGGTGGTTATTTATAAGAAAGGGTTGCATCATCTTCAGAGATGTCAGAAATGTCACCTGCCCAGTGCATCACCCCTGAACTTGTGCTTTCGTGCAGCAGAGTCCCAGCTGCCATACAGACACACCAGTAAGCAAACCTAGAAACAATCAGTGTTTTTGTCTCGATCACTGGTATCGCTGGGGTTTTTCTCCATGTTTGGGCTGCCTGGTCCTGTCCCAGCTCCCGAGGGTCGATGTCTGAGCCTGGCAAGATTCTGAAACATTTTCCTTGTCTGGAGGAGCTGGTCCTGGAAACAGATGAAGTAAATGAGCTAATGGCACCTAAACACTAAGAGACTGACGTCGCGAGAAACATCTTACTGACTGCTTTGCTCATCCTTTGGCAGACGAATATAGCTTCGCAGTTGATGAGTGGACCATTTATTTACATCTGGAAGGATGACATGAGTATCAGTTACTTATATAAATCGTGTTCACCAATAGCTCTGACCCCATGGCTCATGGCCACCTGGGTAAGACTAACAGGGTTTCTGGGCTAGAAGTGGCAAGTAAAAGTGATGTCATTATCAAGCCCACTTGCAATGCAGATTTCAGTCTTGTTCAATGGCCGCTGCTTCACCCTAGCTTGAAATGATAAATAGTTTATCACAAGTGACTGACTGAACTAGCAGCAGAGACTGACGAGAGTTGCACCAGTCTGGAATGTGGCAAATGTTTCTAAGATGTGATCATGTAGAAACCTTTGGCTCTGAGTTCTGTCCAAAATGGCTCAATTAGAAAAGGAGTGTACTGTATATTTGTATTACTCCAGGAGTGTGTGCTTGCACTGCCTAGCTGTGTATGTTCATTTGTATGTGTTTGTGTTAGAGAGAAAGAAGGAGAGAGGCAGTGCTACCTGAGCACCCATAATTGGTCTGAAAGTGTAGTTTTATTGCTCTGTTGTCAGACCTGGTATGCTTTGTATTCAGCTTTGATGGAACTACATAGTTATGCAGTGAAATAATACTAGGGTAAGAAGACTGAAGAATGAAGGGAAGAAAGAAAACTATATGTGTAGAGCCATATACATTTTTTAGTTTTGTCGTCATTAATACAGTTGTGAAGTCAAGACACTTGCACTAGAGTAGAGAGGAGTAATTCGCAATGATTTTAAATTCTAATGGACAATTTATAATCCATGCAAGTAGGCTTTGATAGGCAATATGCAATTGTTTATCATATTTAATAGATTTTTTCTTTCCATACATTTTTACACTAATGCCCAGAATTCTCTGCATCCGGAGTAAAGTGCTTCCATAGATCACCTTTTTGGCTGGCTCTTAGCTTTTGAAACAGTTTAAAAGAAGAAACACTTGTGAACCGATTTCCTTGCAAATCTCAGATCATTTCCTGAGTCTGATAAAAAGTGGTGATGAACGTATTGCACTTCCAAAGAGCCTCTAACAGTAGAAGTAGTCAGAGAGCCAGTATGTTGCAGAGTAAGTTTGTATAATGAGAAAATCAGACCTGTTTATTTATTCTGAGTGCAACTTTCCACTACAGTTACATCCTCCGTGGTGACATAATTACACTCACACCTGCACCTGTGAACACAGAGAGGAACATTAACAAACATTTGCACGTTGTACCGATGTTAATGTAGGTTTCTGCCAAAATTTTGTCAAATGGAGTAAATGTGAGCCTTTTATTCAAGTACCCTACTGCTTTTTCAAATGCACGCTGGGATAAGCTTGTGATTCCCCTGACCCTGAACAATGATTGAAGAGGGGAGAGTGTCGTCACATTTGAAGATTTGCTCTTTGGAAAATGGCAGCCGACTTCCTAATGGACAGCCGTTCATATCCTCAAAGTCAAACATGTCTTGCATAAAAAACAGAGTAATGACCAAAACAAAGCCATAACAGTTTTTTATATAAGACAGCATAATTGAAATAGTGATGAACCAAAACAGCGTTCAGAACTCCCCCTCCCCTTCTTTAGGACTCTGAATAGGAAAAGCTATTTTTAAAAAGTAAATGAACATTAGGCATAAAAAATTGCATTTCGAAATCGCCACAGACACAAGAACACCAACGCCTAACGACAAAATGCCTTGCACAGCTATTTATGTGATGCACTGCGAGTCTTTGTGTAGATGTCAAGTGTGTAGTTGGGGGTTACACATGTAGCATACAGCAACAGTGAAGGCATAGAAACTGTATGACAGAAGATTTTACCAGTTAAGAAAAGTGAAAATACGCACACTCACTCAGCTAAAGTGGATGATTTGATTTCTGCTTCTTATACAAAGGATTTCTGCCTCCTCTGGTTTACCTTTGGTACAAAGTCTTGAAGGAATGTTTAAATAGATTATTATTATATCAAATTCTGTTGTATTGTAGTTGCGGTGATAACATGTAGACATGACCTCATGTTGTCTGCATTTGGCCAAAAACATACCTCTCAACAAAAACAGAAAGGCAGGTCCTATTGCCAAGATTTTTTTATGGTGTAATTCTTCAAATCAAATGAATATGGCCATCAGTGTGTAAACAGTGTGATTCATAGACACTTTTGCATCCATTAATGCAAGCACACAGTCTCTCATCCACCTGCTGTCCACTTCCCACATCCATCCACACAACCTGCAGTGCCATGTCTCCTCATCTTTGCCAGCTCAGAGAAGCGGCCGACTGAGTAGCGCCTTTTTGAGTTTACCTAACGTCTACCTAGCGTTTACCTAACGTCTGCTGCCTTTATATGGGCGTGCGTGTACTGGAGGACCACTCACCCCCTCCAACCAGACTGGCAATTTACCCCTTTGGGTGACAGGAGAGAAAGCAAGTGATCGAGGGGAAAGGGGAGGTAGAGAAGGAGAAAGAGAAGGAGACGGAAAAGGTGTGACCCAGACAGACAGAACAACAGACAGACTTGCACACTCAGACGTGCACTTGTTTGACTTGATAAACTGGCCAGAGTGCTGGTGAATATCAGGCTAAAAGTCTGGGTAGCATCGACTTCCAATACTGATCCGTGCCAAAGAATTACATCTCATGGCAATTCCACAGGCCCCAAGCCCACCCGTGCACACACCTTTTAAAAACCATGCATAAGTTACCATGGAAATAATTCATCTTTCGCTGCACAGTGGGATATAGTGAGGTGCATGATGGGAATTATGTCTTTTTGTTGGCTTTATTGCAGTGGTTCTCAAAGTGAGGTCCAGGGACCCCCAGGGGTCCTGTAGGGGGTTCCAGGGGGTCCCCAGCAAAAAGGGGAATAAATTATTTCCGTTTTAATTCCATTTATAAGAAACACAATGACAGAATGTATTACTAGTTTGGTCATGGGTTTCATACACTTTCTGTAATAAAACTTCTAAAAGCAAAAATCTGATCAAATGGGGGTCCATGGTGTAATTTTTGTCACTTCAGGGGTCCTTGATGTGGAAAAGTTTGAGAACCACTGCTTTATGGTACAACATTTCTATTCCAGATAGTGTAGCTTGCATGTTAAAAACTGGCCTGTAGTCAGTGTTGTGAATCCATGAATGTATTGTGAGTCGCTGCACAGACTGTTGTGTGTTGTTTTTTGGTTTTCTACACCTGGCAGCACTGATGCAAGTCGCTCTGCTAGTGTAGAGTGAGTGAGTTGATTTACCTGTTAGCTGTTAGCAATATGATTGACGAGGCACTATTGGACTGTGTGATGCAGTGAGGAGTCTGACATAAGAAACTATTTAAGATGTCCAACTAATAGCAGCATTCTTAAGTGCTCCAGTGTTGCTGTTAGATGGATAGCTCTTTGAGAAAAGGCTAATCACAAGACA